GTTCTATTCCCCTTCCGTTTAGTAATATAAACCATCCCATTGCAAGGAAGATTATTCCAGGAAAAGTATATTTTAAACCAGTTGCATAACAGGCTTTGGGGTTATTTGAAAGTTCAATTACATAAAATTTTAAACAAAATTTTAAGACCAATATCAGTCTTAGCACTATATTTTCTTTTTTATAAAGATTTTTTAAAATGTATATTTTTTAATTGATTTCAGAAAGGCAGGGAGAGGTAGAGAGAAATAGAAACATTAATGATGAGAGAGAATCATTGATTGGCTGCCTCCTGCACACCACCTACTGGGATTGAGCTCTCAACCCAGGCATGTGCCCTTGACCACTAGAATCGAACCCGGGGCCCTTCTGTCCACAGGTTGATGCTCCATCCACTGAGCCAAACCATCTAGGGCAGCAATTGTATTTTTTCCTAGAAGTTTCCATGATAGTGGTATTTCCCGCCCCCCCCCCCCCCATATATTGAATAGAATTAACTAACAGTAATTATTAATTTGTCACCCTTTGCTTGGAAATCTTGTGGCCACAGAAATATAGAAGATTCTGGTTAAATGTAGGGTGGAATTTACATTTGTATAGAATTTTGTTTTTAATGTGTAGAAACTTCAAGCATTTTCCTCCTTAAAATTCTAAGGGCCTTTTTTTTTTGCTGCATAATAGGGGATTGCTTTTTCTATCTAACATTTCTTATTCAAGATACGCCCAATTTTCTCTTTTTCAAAAAATATAGAGATCACTTTAAATTACATCTGTAATTACTGATTTTAGAGACACATTATAAGCAAAGTACTACTCTTTCAAAATTCTCTATTAATATTAATATAGTCTCTCTAATTTTGGGAACATTACATTTTTAAGAAATGTAATTTGATTACTAGAATCACTGTGAATGAATATTTAGTTGCAAATTTGATAATCTAATAAAAGAACATTCAAATTTACCAATAAAGAGTAAGTGTGTGGTCTGCCTTCACCAGAATTTTAACTATTGGAGTATTAGTTATCCTATATAATAAAGAAGTAATATGGAAATTGACCATCACTCCAACACACAAGATGGCTGCCACAAGATGGCCAGCTAGGAGGGTTGTGGGCAATCAGGCCAGCATGGGAAGGCAGTTGTTGGGGACCCAAGCTGGCAGGGGAGAGCAGTTGAGGGGGACCAGGCCTGCAGGGGAGGGCAGTTGGGGGTGATCAGACCAGCAGGGGAGGGCAGTTGGGGGTGATCAGACCAGCAGGGGAGAGCAGTTAGGGGCAATAAGGCTGGCAGGAGAAGGCAGTTAGGGGTGACTGGACTAGCAGGGGAGGACAGTTAGGGGCAACCAGGCCTGCATGGGAGGGTAGTTGGGCGAGGAGGACCAGGCCTGCAGAGAAGAACAGTTGGGGGTGGGAGGGGCAGGCCTGCAGGGGAGGGCAGTTGCAAGGACCAGGCCTATAGGGGCAGGCAGTTAGGGTTGACCAGGCTGGCAAGGGAGGGCAGTTAGGGGTTACTGGGCCAGCACTGGAGGGCATTTGGGGGCGACCAGGTCAGCAGGGGAGGGCAGTTAGGGGAAATCGCGCTGGCAGGGGAAGGAAGTTATGGGTGACCATTTCTGCAGGGGAGGGCAGTTGGGAGCAACCAGGCCTGCAGGGGAGGGCAGTTTGGTGTGACCAGGCTGGCAGGATAGGGCAGTTAGGGGTGACTAGGCTGGCAGGGGAGAGTAATTAGGGGGAATTGGGCCGGAAGGGGAGCACTTAGGCGTTGATCAGGCTGGCAAGCAGAGGTGGTTAGGGGCAATTAGGCAGGCAGGCAGGCAAGCATTTGGGAGCCAGCAGTCCTGGATTGTGAGAGGGATGTCCCAGTTTGGAGAGGGTGCAGGCTGGGCTGAGGGACACCCCTCCTGTGTACCAGTTAAGTGCCACATGTCTAAAATGAAAACCATCCCCATATGCCAGTATATTTGGAATATAATCTAAAAAATCAATTTGTAATGAATATTATAAAAATAAATATATTACAATTCAGGTGTTCTTCAATATGTTCAGTTGGAAATTCTCACGAAAAATGATTTTAAAGTTGGTCTATAGACGTTTATGGCAGGCAAATCGTTAAATTCTAATTGTTTGCACATCTTGAACATAAGGATGGAGTGAGTGATTTGATGAAGCATGTTAGCATATTAACTTTTAACCCTATAGTAAATACTGTATAACTTAGTTGAGATAAGTTTTAAGTGACCAGTTTTTTGTGTTTTTTTTTTTAAACTAAGAAATATAGAAAATTTGTATTCTTTAACTTTCTGTTACTATACTTAACTGGAAACTTTCTGATACTGACTTTCATTTATAGTTGGAGCAAAGTATAAAATTAGTATATTGCCACTATAGTTTTCAACAGTGTTGCTGAAAATGCCATCCATTCCCCATTCATGTATTTATTAAATGTCTGCTCTAAAACTGTATTAGTCAAAGTTTCACCACATTAGAGCAATGCTTGTTTAAGCTTCAAGGATATTAATTTATTGCCAGGTTGTTACACCGTTTCAATCTATACATCAGTAACCCACAAATCAGTAAATCCAGTAAGGGCTGTTTTTATCAGCAGTTCTGCTTATTCTATTTTAGTAAGCGATGGTCTGTGTAATCAAGGTGATGTCATGTTTTGAAATATGTCCGTTATAATTAAAATGAGAACCCTGGCCAGTGTGCTCAGTAGTTAGAGCGGCAGCCTGAGCACCAAAAGGTTGAGGGCTCAATTCCCAGTCAAGGGAATATAACTGAGTTGTTGTGGGAGGCAACCAGTCAATATATCTCCCATATTGATTTTTTTCTCTTTCTTCCCCCTCCGTCTTTCCCTACTTCCCTCTCTCCCTTCTAATCTCTGAAAAGCAATGAAAAAAAAAAAATCTTCTGATGAGGATTAACAAAAACAAACAGAGATATGATGTTTTGGAATTTGGGCATTATTAGCATTTTTTTTCTAATGCTTATTTAAATAGGTATCATTTAAGGTGCATGCCTTAGTTTTAGTTCATATAGAATAACATTAGGGAATTTTTATAAAAGAAAACGGTTATAAAATGTTAATTGAACTACTATTTTGTGAAATTTTAGGGGAATAAGTTTCATATGAAACCATTATCATCAGCATTCAATAAAATGTATTTTAAGTGGACACACATAAGCTTAATATGTCTTTCTGCTTTATCTGAATAACCAGTGACTAAACATTTTAACCTAGTTATTATGGTTCAAATATAACTTAAAAACTAAATTTTATAAAGTATATTCTTTGTTGGTATTCACTAGAGATTTCATATTTTTATAAGTAGATGTTTCACATGTTTGCTGTACAGAGTACCAAGAATTCATCTGCCTTATCTTTACGGGGTGCCACATTAATGAAGGCAAATAAAGAAACTGTAAAGCACCATTTTCAACCTTTTTCATCTCGTGGCACAATAAACGAGTCACTAAAATTCTTGGCACACCAAAAAATATATATTTTTTTGCTGAACTGACAAAAAAAATAGGTATAATTTTGATTCATTCACACCGATGGCTAATGTGTTGGCTGTTGTCATTTTTTAAATTTGACAATCTAAGGGAAAAGAGGTCAGTGTCCCTGACTAAAAGTCAGGTATTTCATGTTTTAAAATTCAGCACACCGTTGAAAATAGCTGGTCCAAAGTTTATTTTGCCTAGCAAGTAAAAAATAGATGATGCCCAAGGGTACAATGTCTTTGAACCGACTGGCAAAGCATGGCTTCCCCAGAGGTAATTCTGCTAAGTCACACAGTGGTACTTCTAGTGTCCTGTCACGTGGTTACTCCTGTAATGGATTAATTACAAAGGAATTGTGCTAACTTTTTTATTCACCTATGACATTTAATTTCCACAATAATCCAATAAAATAGATATTGACTGTTACTCCTTTTTGAAGATGAAGAAACTGAGACTGATAGGTGTTAAATAGTTTAGTGCTGGCACTTGGATCTAAATCTTACTCTAACTATATGATTCCCACATTAATATGTTTTTATTGCACGACGCAGTCAGTGTTCTCAGTCTAGAATATAGTCATCTTATAAAGAGAGGTTATTATCTAATTTTAATTATATCTGAAATTTTTTTTCATTGTAGGGTCTCTCTTGGAGACTTTTAATGATTAAGTAGAAAAAATAGTTACTGCTGTTTATAAGACTCACCATTTAATTTTGACCAGTTTTTATAAAATGATAATGTAAAAATATTGGGAGAGCTTGGACAAGATAATAATTTTCCCACCCCAGTGATTAATACTAACTCACAGCAGTTTTTTTTATACTTTAGAATCAGCATAAAAAATATATTCTCGCCAAAACCGGTTAGGCTTAGTGGATTGAGCATGAGCCTTCGGACTGAAAGGTCCCAGGTTCGGTTCCAGTCAAGGGCATGTACCTTGGTTGCGGCGGGCACATCCCCAATGGGGGATGTGTAAGAGGCAGCTGATCAATGTTTCGCTCTCATCTATGTTTCTAACTCTCTATCCCTCTCTCTTCCTCTCTGTAAAACATCAATAAAAAATATATATTTGAAAAAATACATTCTCACTTTTTATTTTTAGCTGTCTTTAAAAATGAGCAATGGTTTTTATATATATATGTTGAATTGTAGCTTTTTTTAAAAAAAAAATTGAAGCCATAAAAAATGCCTGGAAAGGGTTATAATTGTTTCATATTTTAATGTTCATTGACTTTCAGGAATATTTAAAGGTGATGGTTGATGAACGATGCTTCCTTTATTTTCTTAACTTTTACACAATTTTAAAAAGTGGTTGGTTTTGTCTGAAATGTCAGATGTAGAGTCTTGTTTTGTTTGACCAGCAGTGCAAATTTTTAAAGCAATTGTTCTAAATTATTTTCTTTCAAAATGAGATATTTTCTATCAACTGTTTTATGTAATCTAGAATCTGTGCTTACACACACATTCAAACTGACATGTAATTATTTTTATTTCACAGGAGCCATCTAGAACAGTTTCAGGCAGATACAAAAGGTAAGAATCCTTAAGTTATGACTTACAACATATTGTAGACATGAGTGTAATGTCTGTCTCACCATGGCTTAACTAGAACTGTTTTGAGCAGCTTTTTGAAAAATAAGGAACCTTTATATTATGCTTTTAAAAAGAAATTACACTGTAAGTAGGAGTGTAATGTCTGTCTAACCATGACATATTTTGGCATACCTTGCAGTCTTTGAAACTGTACACACTATGAGTTTGTATGGGCCTGATGAACTTAGCAAAATATAAGCTTACGATCATTTTCCCTTATGTGTTTAAACATTGAAAATACCACTTATATTAATTAGCTTTGGCTGCCATAACAAAAAACCATAGACAGGACTGCTTAAACAGAAACATATTTCCACAATTCTGTATTGGGCTGTAAAGTCCAACATCAGGGTTGCCAGCATTATTGGGTTCTGATGAAGGTTGTGTCTTCCTGATGTGCAGATGGCTGCCTTCCTGCCTTTCCTCAGATGGTGGAAAGAGAAAGAGTGGCTTCTGTGTCTCTTTTGATAAAGACACTAATCCCATTGTGAGAGCCCCATCCTCCCGACCTCACAGATACCTACTTACCTCCCAAGGCTCTCCTTTCAAATATACCATGACACTGAGGATTAGGGCTTTACTGTGTGCATTTTGGGTGGATGCAGTTCAGTCCTTTTCTTAGTTTGTTCAGGCTGCTATAACAAAGTACCACAGACTGGGTAGCTTATAGACAACAGAACTTTATTTCTCATGGTCCTGGAGGCTGGCAGTCAGAGATCAGAGTGCCATTTTGTTCAGGTTCTGGTCAAGGTCGTCTTCTGGGTTGCTGACTGACAACTTCCTGCTCTGTCCTCACATGGTGGAAAGGGCTAAGGAGCTCTGTAGGGTCCCTTTTATAAAGGCACTAATTCCATTCATGAGGACTTCACCTTCATGACCTAGGCACCTCCAAAGACCCCACCTCCTAATACCATTACATTGGGCATTGGTATTTTGACATGAATTGGGAGTAGGTGGGGGGAGGGGGAGAGGAGTGTGAAGTAACAGACATTCAGACCACAGTAAGTCCATAGCACCACCTCTATACAATGAGTAGTGCTTTCACCAGAAAATGTGTTTTAGTGTGTGTGCACATATATAGGAAGAAAATCAGAATTCGTTATGAGAAGTTGTTTAATGCAGATGCCAGGAATGTTGGCTTTCTTCCCTGTGGAAGCCATAAAGGTTGCAGAAGATGTGCTCATACTTGTGCTAATAATTAGGGAATAATTATAAATCTTATTAAGTGCTTATAATGCCCCAAATGCTTTACATAGAGATCTCACTTAATTCTCACAGTTATCTTATAAGGTACAATATTTAGTTTCATTTCATAGATGAGGGGTTAAAGAGGTAGAATAATTTTGCTGAGGTTACTAAGCTAGTCAACTGAGGCATCTAAGTTTGAACTCAGACAATCTGACTCCAGAACCCACATGCTTGCACATGACCATCTCCCTGGATTTATACATATAAGACCTTTGTTTTCCTCTGTGTGTATGTTAAAATTTAGAATATTTGATTAAAAGTTTTGTTTATTATATCTTGTCTGAAATAAAACATTGATTAAGAGGAGCTCTAATTTTAATATTAGCCATCCCCCCTTACCAGCAGAAGTTGTATTCCAAGACCCCCAGTGGGTACCTGAAACCACGTGTACAGAATCCTTTATATACTATGTTTGCTTCTATACTTGCCTACCTATGATACAGTTTAATTTATAAATTAGGCACAATAAGAAATTAACAGCAACAATTAATAATAAAGTAGAACAATTAGTATACTAATATGAATATAGTCTATCTCAAAATATCTGATAGTACTAATACCCATTCTTCTTTTGTGATAATGTGAGATGATACCATGTCTATGTGATGAGATGAAGTGAGGTGAATGATGTAGGTATTGTGACATAGCATATTATTGACTTTATGGTGATTTTTAAGAATCACTTTACTGCTTCTCTGTGGCATGTCGGAATTGTCAGCCTCACTACTCTTGGCTTTGGGGCCATTATTGGTAAAATAGAATAAGAATTGCTTAAACAGGAGCACTGTGCATAATTTAACAGTCAATCTATTAACTGAGATGGCTATTATGTGACTGGATAGGTAGTATATAAGAGAGTGGATACACTGGACATGTGGGTGAGTCACATCCTAGATGGCTCAAGATTTCATCACATTACTCAGAATGGCTTGCAATTTAAAACTTATGAATTGTTTACTTCTGGAATTTTCCATTTAATATTTTCAGAATACAGTTGACCATGGGTAACTGAAACTGAAAAGTGAAAAACTGGATAAGGAGGGAATTCTGTATTCTATCGAAATTACTCTTATCTTGAACAACTCTCATGTTCACTGACTCCCTTTTTAAAGTGTTTAAATAACTTTGAGAAATTATAGCCATCGCTCAGTATGCTTTGGGGATTGGTTCTAGGACCTTACTTAGATGCCAAAATTTAGGTATACTCAAGTTACTGTGTAAACCTATGGACACTCTCCTATACACTTTAAATCATCTGTGGATTATTTATAATAGCTAATACATTGTAAATGCTATGCAAGTAGTTGTTATGCTGTATTGTTTAGGGAATAGTGACAAAAAGTCTGTACATATTCAGTATAGATGCAACTCTCATGATGGGCCTAACTAGATAGCACACATCAGCAACAACGCAACATTTTTTTCCCCCTGAATATTTTCATCTAAGGCTGGTTGATTTTGTGGATGTGGAGCCCTTGGATGCCTGTATTTGGAGATGTAGGAGGTCATGAAATTTCTGAAACTCAAGGTTTAGGAAAGATGGATCAGTGTCATGTTTGTAGGTTATTTTTCCAATGTATAATTTTCTTAATAGAATGTTTTCTTGGTTAAGTTTATAGTGTATTGATTAAAATAATTTTTAAAAAACTAAGAGATTTTTAGATGCAAGGCTGTGGATATACTGCTTGGTGTGATATCTCAATACAACTTTTTTTTTTTTTTTTTCCTGAATGACTTGCAAAGGGAAGGATTAGCCAGGGTGTATAATTTACCATTCTTCTTAAAGCATGTAATTTAACCATTAGAAATGGCACTGATTAAGAAACAGGGGAAGCAAGTTAAGACAGATAATACGTTTTATCATTTTCACATAGTAATTAACTGGTCCTTTTGTTTGCACAAATTTTTTAATACACTATTGATTATTTTGATAAGTGTGCTTCTAACTTGGCCTCCCCTCCAGTAACATTAATAGGTTCTATTATGTAGCTGTATATAATTATGTAGCTGTATACAATTTTAATTGTATACAGAGCACCTGCACATACCTTATCTAGCAATAGCCTCATCAGGCACCTGGACAGGCATCTTCATTGCAAAATGAGGAAAATGGTTTTAGTTCCACAAGTCCTTTATTATATCACACTAGGGGCCCAGTGCACGAAATTCGTGCATGGAGGGTAGGTCCCTCAGCCCGACCTGCACCCTTTCCAATCTGGGAGTCCATAGGGGAGCCCTCTCCAATTCAGGAGTTCCTGTCTGTCTTTGCAATCATATGAGCAAATTATCTGAGACCCCAGCACAGTTTGGTTTGGTCCTCACAGAATAATAGAGGTCTTTTTTTTTTTTTTTCTTTGTTCCATTGGTGGAGATTTACTAGAAATTGCAAGATATATCCTTTTAATCTTTCCTTGACACTTGGACTTTACTTATGTCTCTCACCTTTGTTTTCCCTCCATCCCCCACCCACAAAAGTAACTTGCTCCAGGCTCAATTTGCCCTAGTATCTAGGACAGTGGTTGGCAAACTGTGGCTCGCGAGCCACATGTGGCTTTTTGGCCCCTTTAGTTTTTAGTGAAGGCCAGCTTAGGAGTACTCTAATTAAGTTAGTAACAATGTACCTACCTATATAGTTTGAGTTTTAAAAATTTGGCTTGCAAAAGAAATTTCAATCGTTGTACTGTTGATATTTGGCTCAGTTGACTAATGAGTTTGCAGACCACTGGTCTAGGAGATCCCGCAAAGCATCTGCCACCAGAACTACGATTCCCAGCATTCCTGTGCTCTCCACGCTCTGGGCTTCTGCTTCCGGTCCCGGGACTGCCACCAGAATTACCATTCCCAGAATTCCTGGTGCTCCACGCACTCTTGGTTTCTGCTTCTGGTCCAGGGGCTGCAGAAACCAAAAGAACTGGGAACTTCAGCCACTCCCAGGCCTGGCTGACAGGATTGGACACTCCAGTGGTGTCCACAGGACCCTGGCTGCTCAGCACTGGTGTGCACACTGCCCACAGGCCCACCATCTTTGTCAGGTTAATTTGCATACTCCCTCCTGATTGGCTGTGGGGATCTCAAAGGGATGGCCAATTTACATATTTATCTATTATTAGTATAGATTATTAGTATAGATTTCCCTCTGAGCAGAAATTAGCTAAGTTATAAGAGAGGAAATATATTTTTTTAAAGTTTTGTAAGTTATAAGAAAGGGAAAGTTTTGTTTATATGCAGAGCATTGTTCATATGCAGAGCATTGGACATGTCAGGATATGAATATTAGGAAGAATTAGTTTTATCTTAGCTGAAATATAGGTGCAAAATTCTATATCATACATATAATGTTTCATGTAATTATTGTTCTATAACTATAATTCAAATAGCTTTATCAGAACTTTTCTTCTCTTACAATTTTTTTTGCAGTTACTGAAAATGATTATGGTAGAACTTTTATACATCTTAGAATTGTTTATTTTAAAAGCAATTCTTATTGAATATTTGGATTAGAAAAACCCACCCAGATCAATTACTATTAACATTATATTTATAGGCTTTTTATTTGTATAACTGTGTGGATAATGGACATATAATTTTGCTTTTTACTTTACTCCATAGTTGATGTAAAACAGGTATCTTAAACTTTTATTTTAAGTTGAGAATGACTGCTATCAACTGAGCAGTCTCTGCTTTTCTCCTTT